AACCCAGCCGGCTACCAAAATCGGCTAGGACCCCTGCAATGCAAGCACTGATCAGGGAATGCCTTGCCGGCCGCGAGGAGGACGCGAGGCGTGCCGCCGCACGCGGTGCCGGAGCTTCCCGAGAAGTAGAAAGAGAAGGTCTGGGCCCCTCTCTTCGGGGCCTCTGGGGCGCAGGGTGGTCTGCTGGGCCGACTGGGGCTCTCTCGTGCTGTCGGGGTGCGTGATTTTTTATACCCAGTCTTCGCTGAGTTTTGTATGTTTGTTGTGGAAGGCGGTCGGCTCGGGCGCCGAGCAGTGCGCGCCACGTCGTGGCGAGGTGGCGGCCCTGAGGAGGGGAGCTCCCACCTGCCGCGAGGAGTTCCAGGCGCTCGCTGCGGCAGCGCTCCCAGGCCAGGGGCCGCCGTCCTCGCCGTGCGGGTGCGTGTTGGGATGGTTTGAGCTGCAGACGTGTTGTAACCGTCCGGCGGGGCGGAGGCGCCGCTGTGGGACGGTTGGGGGCTGGTTTAGGGGAACGAACAATGACGTAAACATGACAACTCGGAGCTCCGCGCTGATTTCTCGGATCGGCGCTGGGGCCTCCTGGCGGCGTCTCCAGGGCCGCCCCTGGCGCGCTCCGCGCGCCAGGGATCGGGGTCCAGCGCGGGTCCGAGAAATCCGCGCGGACCTCCGAGTTGTTATGTTTATGCCATTGTTCGTTCCCCCATGCGTGGAGCCGTCCTCGTGCCGTCGTGAGGGCCAGGCTGGACAGGGAGGGCGTGCCGGAAGTCGAGGAAAGGCTGGAGCGAAGAGCGGCGGAGGGAGGGGCCGAGGAGGGAGCAGTGCCCAATCGAAAACGAGGGAGCAGGCGGGTGGCCACGTGCGCGCCACCTGGGGCCTGCAGGGAGGTCTGGGCCAGCGCGTGGACGGGCAGGAGCGGCCTGCCCCGCAAGAGAGAGGGCGTCGGGTCGCCGGCTCGTGCATGCGTGCTGTGTTTTGGGGGTCCTGTGTGGGCCTGTTCGGGGCCTTCTTGGGGCTGTGTGTATGTGCTTTTTTTGCTTCGTTGAACAGCACATGCATGTGTTATTATTATTCGTAGATGTAAAAGACAAGTAAATGCGATGTTCAATGTATAGTTATATTCCAGGGCACCCCAGGGGCCCTCCTGGAATCTGGTGGGGCTTTATGGGGGTCCCTCGGGGCCACGTGGGATCATGCGGCAGGTGAGGGAGCCGTCTGGGAGGGTTTGGGGCTGGCTGAGGGCGATCGCGGGCCGCGGTGGAGCCGTCTTCGGGCAGTCCTGGAGGCCATCTCAGGCCATGTTGGGGGCATCTTGGATCTTCTTTTGGGCTGGTGTGGGTCTCTGAGGTCCTCTTGAAGGCCCTGCATGCGAAGTTCAATGGGACGTGACGACTCGAGACTCGAAGGCGGGGAAGGAGATGAGCAGGGAGAGGTGAGGAGCCGAGGGGTGGACCAGGCCAGCGCGGAGTCGGGACGTGCCTACTTTGGAGACGGCGCGCGAGGTCATTGGGCTGACCTGTCCGAGGCCATCTTGGGCCTGCTGCTGGCGCTGCTTGGCGAAATCTCTGCTGCCTTGGGGCTTTGGGAGCCGCTCGGGGCCATGATGGGACCATCCTGGGGCCATCCCAAGCTTTCGGAACCATGAGAGAAAACTGATAATTTAGTGGGCTGTCCTGGAAAGGTTTGATGTGGTCACGGGCAATCTTGGAAGTCAGCCGTCGTTGTGGATCCATGACTGATCCTGGGCCTGTGGGGGCACTCGTGTGGGATCAACGGGCGTCTTGGATGAATGTGGCACGCGTTTTCGGGCTAAGTTTAAGTCGGGCATGTCCCCCATACAGGGGGATTTTGGGCGACAAGCTAACAAATATTCGCAAAACATACTCCACAGTTGCCAAAACAGATTCAATTATCCTGGCGAAAAGCCCAACCATTGCAATTGTGGGTACCGCAAGTGTGAGCATCTTCTTCGGTGGCGATCCCTATCTATGGGGCCACGAACCGCATGAGGAGTGTGCCGCAACGTGTGGCGGTGACAAATGCGAACCCACCCACTGGGGCCTTCGGTGGAGCTTCCTATGGGGCCACGAACCGTGTGAGGGATGTGCCGTAATGCGTGGCGGTGACGCATGCGAACGCACCCACTGGGGCCTTCGGATGAACTCCCTATGGGGCCACGAACCGTGTGAAAAGTGTGCCGTAATGGGTGGCGGTGGCGCATGCGAACGCGCCCACTGGGGCCTTCGGAGGGGCTCCCTATGGGGCCACGAGCCGTGTGAAGGGTGTGCCTTAATGGGTGGCGGTCGCGCAAACGAACGCACCCACTGGGGCCTTCGGTGGAACTCCCTATGGGGCCACGAACCGTGTGAATGGTGTGCCGTAATGTGTGGCTCCGCAACCGCAACCACTGGGGCCTTCGGTGGAACTCCCTGTGGTGCCACGAACCGTGTGAAAGGTGTGCCGTAATGGGTGGCGGTGCCGCATGCAAACGCACCCACTGGGGCCGTCGGTGGAACTCCCTATGGGGCCACGAAGCGTGTGAAAAGTGTGCCGTAATGGGTGGCGGCGACGCATGCAACCACATCCACTGGGGCCGTCGGTGGAGCTCCCTGTGGGGCCACGAACCGTGTGAAAAATGTGCCGTAATGGGTGGCGGTGCCGCATGCAACCGCACCCACTGGGGCCTTCGGTGGAACTCCCTATGAAGCCACGAACCGTGTGAATGGTGTGCCGTAATGTGTGGCGGTGACGCATGCAACCGCACCCACTGGGGCCTTCGGTGGAGCTTCCTATGGGGCCACGAACCGTGTGAGGGGTGTGCCGTAATGGGTGGCGGTGACGCGCGCAACCGCGCCCACTGGGGCCTTCGGTGGAACTCTCTATGAAACCACGAACCGTGTGAGGGGTGTGCCGTAAGGTGTGGCGGTGACGCATGCAACCAAACCCACTGGGGCCTTCGGTGGAACTCCCTATGGTGCCACGAACCGTGTGAAGGGTGTGCCGTAAATGCGGCGGTGACGCATGCACCCGCACCCACTGGGGCCTTCGGTGGAACTCTCTATGAAACCACGAACCGTGTGAGGGGTGTGCCGTAATGTGTGGCGGTGGCGCATGCAACCGCACCCACTGGGGCCTTCGGTGGAACTCCCTATGGGGCAATGCGCTGTGTGAGGGGTGTGCCGTAATGGGCGGCGGTGACGCATGCAACCGCACCCACTGGGGCCTTCGATGGAACTCCCTATGGGGCCACGAACCGTGTGAAAAATGTGCCGTAATGAATGGCGGTGACGCATGCAAACCGCACCCACTGGGGCCTTCGGTGGAGCTCCCTGGGGGGCCACGAACCGTGTGAAAAGTGTGCCGTAATGGGCGGCGGCAACGCATGCAACCGCACCCACTGAAGCCTTCAATGGAACTCCCCATGAAGCCACGAACCGTGTGAGGGGTGTGCCGTAATGGGTGGCGGTCGCGCATGCAACCGCACCCACTGGGGCCTTCGGTGGAGCTCCCTGTGGTGCCACGAACCGTGTGAAAAGTGTGCCGTAATGGGTGGCGGTGGCGCATGCAAGCGCACCCACTGGCACCTTCGGTGGAGCTCCCTATGGGGCCACGGACCGTGTGAAAGGTGTGCCGTAATGGGTGGCGGTGACGCATGCAACCGCACCCACTGGGGCCTTCGGTGGAGCTCCCTATGGGGCCACGAACCGTGTGAGGGTGTGCCGTACTGGGTAGCGGTGACGCATGCAACCAAACCCACTGGGGCCTTCGGTGGAACTCCCTATGGGGCCACGAAGCGTGTGAAAAGTGTGCCGTAAAATGCGGCGGTGACGCATGCAACCACACCCACTGGGGCCTTCGGTGGAGCTCCCTCTGGGGCCACGAACCGTGTGAGGGGTGTGCCGTAATGGGTGGCGGTGGCGCATGCAACCGCACCCACTGGGGCCTTCGGTGGAGCTCCCTATGGGGCCACGGACCGTGTGAGGGGTATGCCGAAATGGGCGGCGGTGACGCATGCAAACGCACCCACTGGGGCCTTCGGTGGAGCTCCCTATGGGGCCACGAACCGTGTGAGGGGTGTGCCGTACTGGGCGGCGGTGACGCATGCAAACGCACCCACTGGAGCCTTCGGTGGAACTCTCTATGAAACCACGAACCGTGTGAGGGGTGTGCCGTAATGGGTGGCGGTGACGCATGCGAACGCACCCGCTGGGGCCGTCGGTGGAACTCCCTATGAGGCCACGAACCGTGTGAAGGGGGAACCGTAATTTGTGGCGGTGACGCATGCAACCGCACCCACTGGGGCCTTCGGTGGAGCTCCCTCTGGGGCCACGAACCGTGTGAGGGGTGTGCCGTAATGGGTGGCGGTGACGCGTGCAACCGCACCCACCGGGGCCTTCGGTGGAGCTCTCTATGGGGCCACGGACCGTGTGAGGGGTATGCCGAAATGGGTGGCGGTGACGCATGCACCCGCACCCACTGGGGCCTTCGGTGGAGCTCCCTATGGGGCCACGAACCGTGTGAGGGGTGTGACTTACTGGGCGGCGGTGACGCATGCAAACGCACCCACTGGAGCTTTCGGTGGAACTCCCTATGGGGCCACGAACCGTGTGAGGGGTGCGCGGAATTGGGTGTCGGTGACGCATGCAACCGCACCCACTGGGGCCTTCGGTGGGAATCCCTATGGGACCACGAACCGTGTGAGGGGTGAACCGATCTGATGATGATGGTGATGATGATGATGATGACGATGATGATGGTGACGGTGATGCCGATGATGGGAATGCTGATGATGGGGAGAGGGAGGGGGGGCAGCGGGAGGACGCGGTCGCTGTCTGTTCAAAACGAGGACCCAACATCACAGGATGGTTGGGAAAAAATTGTCCGCCGACTTTTTGTTTGACTATTCTTGAATACTCCCCTGTAGATGGACAGGCCCGACTTGAGGCTGAGTGGGGCTGAAGCGTCGGATTGCGCAACAAGTATATGGCGGATGCAGTGTTTTTGTTTCGTGCCACGTGTGCTACCACAAGCCTCCAGACACCAGCGGAGAGCACCACTGGAACTGCCCTCGAGACACCGGCGGAGAGCACCACTGGAATTGCGTTCTACGCTATATATCGGACAGCGATACTGTACACGCCTCATGACCTTCGCAGGGCTGCCCTGCGAACGTGGCGAATGCAGCGGTTGGTGTTGGGCGTCGGCACGCGCGCGCGCGCGACGCCACGAGGGGCGGGTGGCGGGGGGGCCCAGGCGCTGCGGTGCCGAGGCGGACGGCGCGGGCGGTGAGACCGGCCTACCCTTCGGTCGGGCATGTCCTCCTGCAGGCGGATCTTGGAAGTACATAACAAACTGTCAAAACATGTTCCTAGACAGGGGGGTGTCCCCGGGGGGGGTCCTGGGGGGGCTCCCGGGTCAGCCTCCTCCGCCTCCTCCTCCTGAGCGTCTTTTGCCACTTCTCCATCTCCTTTTCGTTTGTCTCCCCCTCCTCCTCCTCCTCCTCCTCCTCCTCCTCCTCCTCCTCCTCCTCCTCCTCCTCCTCCTCCTCCTCCTCCTCCTCCTCACACACTTCCTCCGTCTACCCTGTCACGTCGTCCTTTAGCTCCTTCCTGTGATCACACATCCCGTCGCCAGGGTCGGCGGCACCGGCCGTAAGGCCTTCACAATCGTAGACAAATCGTCCCCACACGATTTTTTGACTATGCTTGAATGTACTCCTCCTGTGGAGGAACATGCCCGACATAAAGCCTACCCCCGCCTCCCATCGGTTCTCGCGGACGGTGAGGGCGGCGTACCCCCGCTGACGGCGAGGCGAGGCGCAGGGTGCGGATTTCGCCACGGGTTCGGAGAATTCGTCGCGTGCTCCGCCTATACCCCCGCGGACGGCGCGGCGGTGAGGACGGCCTGCTCCCCCCGCCGCCTGCCCATCGATGCTGCTACGGGGGGGCTGGCCCAGGCCACCTGGGCGCAACGAGGGTAGCGGCACGATGCTGGAGGCCTGGAAAAGGGCACCACCACCAAGACAGGGGGCTGCTTCCACAGGGGGAAGCTGATCCTAGATTTCGGTGTTGGTGGTAATAGGTCGGCCACCTGGAAGCCCGAAGATTACCACCTTCGCCGAGATGGGGAGCATCTCCCCTCGGTGGAGGCACACCGCCGATATTGGGGTTGATGTCAAGCTCGAGGCCTCCGACGAGGAGGCCAAGGAGCCCCGATGAAGCTGTGGTCTGGCGCAGGTGAACGTTTGGGCCGAAGGGGGCGGGGAGGGGGGGGGGGCTGGCTCCGGACCTCTGCTTAATGCAACTGTTTGCAGCAATGCTCCTGTGGGGGAGGGGCTCCGCCTGCTCGCAAGAGGCGCCCAAAGACAGCCGAGATCCACTCCAAGGGGGGGGGAGGGCGCGTGGGTCACTTTACAACCAGAAGCGCACTTTACAACCAGATGGGTCACATTACAACCAGCTTACAAAATCCGAGAAGGGCACTTTACAACCAGGAAGGGCACTTTACAACCAGGCAAGTAAAAACACATATTGAATGCACGCGGGCCTTTTCCTAGAATCTCCGTGGGCAAGCAAGGGTGGCTTTGGGCTCTCTGAGGCACGTTGGTTGTAAAGTTGCCCATCGCGCACGAAGAAGCACTGCGCACGCGTTGGCGATGCGGCGACCTGGTGCGCTATGGTATGTTGCGTGCTGGTGGGCGGATTAGGGTTTTGACCTGCCCTCTAAACTCTGTCGGTCAGTTCTGCCATTGTTTGCTCAGCCTTTTTTTTTCTGACGGGCGAAGGCTAGTCGCGCAGGGCATACGAATAGACCATGATCCCGTCCAAGACTGGAGCTGCATGGCAGTGGGAAGCTGTAGTGGGAGATGTGGTGGTAGCGGGGGCTACAATGGGAACTGCATGGCGTTGGGAAGCTGCGGTGGCAACTGTGGTGGTCGCCAGGCAGCGGTGGGAACTGTGGTGGTAGCTGGGCTGCAATGGGATTTGCGGTGGTAGCGGGGGGTCAGTCGGAATTGTGGAGGTAGCGGGGCTGCAGCGGTAAGTTTGGTGGTAGCAGGCACAAAGGTGGCGGTGATGCGCTGTCACGGTGGCTCAAGCTGCTGCGCTGGCACGGTGGCTGAGGCTGCTGCCCGAGCAGGATACCTGCGTTGCTGCGCTGGCGCTGTGGCTGACGCTGGAAGGAACGATCTTCGAAATAGTTGCATTTATTCGGAACGTTGAACCTCGATCTTCCAAGAAGAGGAGCAGCAGGGGGCCAACTGGAGCTGGAGCGCTGAGCCCCTTGCAGAACACCGTGGGGCTTCAGGGGCCAACGTGGCGCAAGAGACCCGCGGTGCCAATGGCCTAGTTCCCTGGAGCGCTGGGCCCTTGTGGAGGCCACTGGGCTCGCTTCCTGTGAGTGGTCCCTAAAATGGGCAGCGCGTCGCCCTGAGCCTTCCTACGTATGCTGTCGCCTTATTCCCGTGCGAGCACGGGGCCCTTGTTGAGGCCGCTTGGCCCCTGCTAGCAAGCCCTGTCATAGTCTGCTGGGCTCAGAGCGCCAGAGCGTCCAGGCGCTCGGGCTCAGAGGCGTCGCTGGGGCCTGCTCAGAGCGTCCAGGCGCTCGGGCTCAGAGGCATCGCTGGGGCCTGCGCAGAGCGCCCAGGTCCTCGGGCTCCGAGGCATCGCTGGGGCCTGCGCAGAGCGCCCAGGTCCTCGGGCTCAGAGGCATCGCTGGGGCCTGCGCAGGGCGTTCAAGCGCTCGGGCTCAGAGGCATCGCTGGGGCCTGCGCAAAGAGTTCAGGCGCTCGGGCTCCAGAGCGCCCACGTGCTCTGGAGCGCTTTTCAGAGCGTCCGCGCGCCCTGGAGCACTTTTGAGAGCGCCCACTTGATCTGGGGCATTTTTTCAGAGCGCCCACTCGTCTGGGGCATTTTTCAGAGCGCCCACTTGCTCTGGAGCGCTTTGCGGAACGCCCAAACACGCACGGCCACTCTGAGCTGGTTGTAAAGTGGTCCGTTCTGGTTGTAAAGTGGCCCGTTCTGGTTGTAAAGTGGTCCGTTCTGGTTGTAAAGTGGGCCGTTCTGGTTGCAAAGTGGACGTTCTCGATGAAAAACCATACGTTCCAATCCTATGTTGGTTGTGAAGTAACCCATCTGGTTGTAAAGTGGTTGTTCTGGTTGTAAAGAGACCGAATCTCGGGGGGGAGGGGAGGGGGGGGGTGCGAGGGTCCGCGCCGCTCGGCACAACAGCGATCATCGAAAACGACCACCTGGCGCAATCTCTTCGCTGCTTCACCTCCTCCTCCTCCTCCTCCTCCTCCTCCTCCTCCTCCTCCTCCTCCTCCTCCAACTCCTTCTTCCTTCTCCTCCTTCTCCTCCTCCTCCTCCTCCTCCTCCTCCGCGCCGTGTGGAGGCGGCGCGCTCCCCACGGCGCGCCCGAGGGTTCTCCCGGGGGCCGGGGCGCCTCGGCGGCCGCGGAGAGCGCGCGCCGCAGAGGCACGCGCTCGCGCGCATACTTATGCCCCGCCGGCAGCAGGCCCCGCGACGGCGTGGGCTCGCCGTCGTCGTCGGTGGCGACATCGGGGCCCTGCCCCCACGGACCGTCGACTCTCCTGAATCTGGGCGCCCGAATTATCCGGGGTAACTCGGGCCCGGGGTAACTCGGGTTTGGATTCCCGAAAAACGAACCCGAGTCAGCCCTGGCCCGAATTATCCCTGATGATTTTGGGCTCTGGACGCCCAAGTTATCCGGGGTAACTCGGGCCCGGGGCAACTCGGGTTCGGATTCCCGGGTTCGGATTCCCGAAAAACAAACCCGAGTTAGCCATGACCCGAGTTACCCCTGATGATTCGGGTCTCTGATGAATCTCGGTGGCGGGGGGGGGAGGCGAGAAGGGACGGGCCTCCTGCGGAGGACTCGGGAGTCGCCCGGCCGTCCGAGGAGTTTTCGAAAAGACGGTCCCGCCGCCTTCTGCGAAGAAGGCCTTCTCCTTCTCGCTCCCCCCCCTCGCTCGCCGCCGAGAAGCAGGTGGGAGGCGGGGGCAGAGCTCGGCCTGCGCCACGTGCTCGACGAACTCCGCGCCCTGCTCCCGCCGCCCATCGAGTTGTCCGAAATCGTGGCTCGGCGAGGGTCGGGGCACTCCGTATGTGGCCACTGGAGGGTACTGAGTCGAGGGCTGCCCCTGCGAACCCTTGGGGACATGCTGGAGGACTCTCTGTGCGCCTGATGGAGGGAACGGCTCGGCGAGGGCCGGGCACGGACTCCGCCGCCGAGCGGGCGCAGGCGCTGCACGACGCGGGCGGACGGCGCGGCGCCGCGAGGACGGCGGCCGACGGCGCGGCTGGAGCCCGGCGGCGCCCTCGCCGCTGCCGCCCGACGGCTGGGGTGGGCGCGCTGCCAGTGTCGGGGGCGGCCAAGGGGGGGGGGCGTCCAAGAGGGGGGGGGGGTGGGGCAAACCATGGCCGGCGGCATGTGCGCGGCAGGGGGGGGGGGGCGGGCCAGGGACGCAATGAAAACCGAGGGGACGCGCCACGTGAAGCCTGGGGGACGCGCCGTGGCCCCCGCCGGGATCTGGCCCCCCCCCCCCCCCCCGCTGCCGTTTCTGCCGTTTCTCGCTCAGACAGCGTCTTGTCTTGCGCCCGCGGCGCGGAGCGCGCCGCAGCAGCCCACCCCCCCCACGCTAGTCCTCGCCCCCCCCCCTCTGCCGCCGCGCCCGACAGGGCGAGGCGAGGACTCTGCCTCACGGGGCGGCGAGGGCGCCGGCCCTCCGAGGGCAGGGGCGTGCCTCGCGCAAAAAACGCCCTCCGGGTGGCCGCCGCGCCCGGCAGGCGTCGGTTGGCGCGGCAGCCGCGCAGCTGAGCGGGGCGCGGGCGGCGTGGGAGCTCGCCGCGCTGCGGCGGGGGGTCGGACGAGACCGCCGTGGCCGCCGCGCTCTGCGCAACGCCCCCCCCCCCCCCCAGCTCACTCGATCTCCTTCTCTCTCTCTCCCTCTCTCTTTCTGTCTGTCTCTGTCTCTGCCTCGCTATCCATCCCTCTCGCTCTCGCTCTCTCTCTCTCTCTCTTTCTGTCTCTTTCTGTCTCTCTCTCTCTCTCTTTCTGTCTCTCTCTGTCTTTCTCTCTCCTTCTCTCGCGCTCTCCAGGTACGTGCCCCGATCGTGGGCCACATCCCACCGACACCCCGGTTGATATGATGACGAGGATGCAGATGCAGATGCAGATGCAGATGCAGATTCAGATGACGACGACGACGACGACAACAACGACGACAACGACGACGACGATGATTGCTCCATCTGGGCGGCAAACTCGCGGTCAGTCAGCCCGCTCCGCCACCCTGCTTGCGAAAGCGTCCTCGCTCCACACGGTCTCGCCGGCCGCCCGGAAGCTGGCCACCAGCAGCCCCGTGTCGTCGCTGAGCCGCATGCGCATGGTGCCCACCGTTTCCTCGCCGTCCGCCACCGCGGGCCCGACGTGCCAGTCGCCCTCTTGGCGCAGCACTCCAGACATCCTGGGGCGCAGGAGGACATACTGATAGTGTGTGCCGACGTTGTGGGCGTGCGTCCGACCAGACCATACAGCATACCCAGACATGATCGCGCCGGGGAAAAAAAACAGGACGGGAAGTGTTTGGCAATTTTCGGCCTCAGGGGGGCCCTCGCAAGGCGTCGAAACCGTCAAAAAGAGACGCAGGATGGAAAACCGAGTTGCGGGGAAATGGTCGGCACTTCTAGGCACCCCGTATTGCAAGAATCGGGGCGTCGCATGTCTATAACCAGCCTCGAACGTATCCCTATCCCTAAAATGGGCAAACCAAAAGCGAGGACAATCTTAGAGATATGCTCTCAGAAACTGAGGGAATCCTTAAGATCGGCATCGAAGTGAAGTGATGTCAAACATAGGGATTGGGATATGTTTCAAACTGGGAAGTCTAGGGGGACCACCTTGCAGAAAATCGTTACCCCAGTGGTATGGCCAGAGAGCGCCCGGCACGGAGTTTACGCCGGAATATGTCTCGGCGCGCACGTCGCCCCTCATGGGGGTGACGCACGCACACAGCAGGGCTGAGCCTAAACGGTGTGTGTGTGTGTGTGTGTGTGTGTGTGTGTGTGTGTGTGTGTGTGTGTGTGTGTGTGTGTGTGTGTGTGTGTGTGTGTGTGTGTGTGTGTGCGTGCGTGCGTGCGTGTGTGTGTGTGTGTGTGTGTGTGTGTGTGTGCCGTTTTCGCTGTGTGTTTCGTTCGCCCTCGCTCCATTCCTTCGATCCGCCTCATCCGCAAACACGAACACCGGAACGAGAACGGCCCAGGAAAAATCGCCCAAACACCGTTTGGGGCCAGCCCTGACACATTTTTTTGGTCGGCGGGTCGAGAGCGGGCCTCTTCCGGTTAAGAGCTAGGCGGGGCGCGCAAAGCACTAATTGGGGAGACGGGGCGCGGGCGGGCGGGGCCTCAGGCGGCCGGAAGGCGCGGGGTGCAGGCGGTGCCGAAGAGCCTGCACAGGAAAAGGTACGCCTTGGACAAGAGCCGGAGGCGAAGTCCCGGAGGGAAAGCGAAGTGGTGCTGCCGCCAGCCATGGCACACGGCACGAGCGTGTTGGGGTGACGCCGGCGTCCTGCCGCCCCACACCATGCGCTCCTCGAAGCGCAGCTCGGCGGCCCCGCCCGCCGAGGGCTGGCCCGCCTCTGCGACCCGCACCTCTCGGCCCCCCTCCCCCCGAGGTCCGGGCGTGTCCTCCTCGGGCGTGTCTTCCGCCATGTTTTCCCCACGGGCGTGTCCTCCTCCTCCTCCTCCTCCTCCTCCTCCTCCTCCTCGTCCTCTTTCCTCCCCTCCTCCCTCCTCCTCCTCCTCCTCCTCCTCCTCCTCCTCCTCATCCTCCTCCTCCTGCTCCTCCTCCTCCTCCTCCTTCTCCTGCTCCTCCTCCTCCTCTTGCTCCTCCCCCTCGCCTCCTGGCGGCGCCGGCCATCGGGTGGGTGGTGACGGGGGGGCGACCTACATGGGGGTTGAGCAACAGTTAGGAAGCAACTGCTGGGAGGCTTTCGTCGGAAAATTAAGGATTAAGCCCAATTTGGGAGCTGTTGTTACGCCGGAGTGGGCCTCGGATTAAGCAGGACTAAGCCGGAATAAACGGGACCAAGCGGGATTAAGCACACGGGGGGGGGACAAAAGGGCCCCCAAGGGGCATTTTCCTTCACCCCCCGTTGAGGGTCACTCCCCCTGGCCAACCGCCCGAAGGCCATGGTGGATCGGCCAGCTCAAAAACTGCTGCGGCAAGATGAAGTCTAGAGCTCCAGTCGTGACTCTTCGCGATGGTCCAGCTGTTTCGCAACGTCGGGCCACAGGGATGAAGCAGATCCTGAGGGAAACGAGTCCTGGACCCAGGGACCGCTTCGGCATCCTGTTCCGCACCTGCAGGTAGAGGTTGTTCGACTCGAAGTTGCCCACATGAGGATGTTAAGTGCGTCGCGGGATCAATCGTGCATCATAGCCGCGAAATGAGCAAACCAGAAGCTTATCGCAAGAGTACGCATCAGCATGGAAGGGCAACCGACGGCAACGATGGGGAAACAGAAGAGGGGAAGCGGCTGGCAGTTCAGGAAACACTTCCGTCTCTCGTCGAATCCCACCCTCAAGTGTTTGGTGAAAATAAAGTTTTTCCGTGAAGCTGTATCCTTTGGAAGGTTTGTCCCTCCCCCTCCCCCTACGCCATCCTTGGGCTCCTCCCTGGGTTTGCAAGGGGCCCCAGTGTGCGGTCCGAGGGCTGAATATAGCACAATGCAGCTTCAAGAGGACTCAAGATTGCTCCGCATGGCCTGCAAGATGGCGCAAGATAGCTCAGCGTGCTTCAAGTGGCCCTGCACGCGCTTCCAAACACTCCCAGCCGTCGCCTAAAGATAGATTTTCCGGAAGGCCCATAGAAACAGCATCTCTGTGAGCGACTTCTGCATTCTCGCACGTTCGCTCGGGACCTCTGCGAGCAGTTTCCGGGGCCTCAGAGGGCAGCGTGCTGGGGCCCGTGGGCGCGACGTAGGCTGCGACAGGGGCATCAGAGGGCAGCGCTGCGGGGCCTCTATGGGCGCTCGGGGCTTCTGTGTACTGTATCTGGGGCCTGAGAGAGCATCATGCTGGGGCCTCTGCGGGCGCGCTTGGGGCCTCTGCGGGCTGCGTATGGGGCCCCCGAGGGCAGCGTGCTGAGCCTCTATGGCCGCTCTTGGGGCCTGTACGTTGCAAACCAAGGCTCTGAATGCGCGCTGGCGGTGGCTGGACCAACCATTGTTCTTGCAGCGGAGGAGCCGGCGCAGCCTCCACCGGAAAATATGGAAAACATCACGGTGGCCCCGGGGGCCCCCGCCCCCAAAGCCGACCCGAAGTGCCCAAGACAAAAACGGCATGGCGCCCGCGTGGCCCCGTCCTGCACCAGCCCCCTAAGCGCCGACGGCAAGAGCTGGCACGGGCCCCACACGCGCCCGAAATCGTCCCTCAGGCGCGTGCTTGAGAGGAATCTTCAGCCAATCCTGGACACGGTGAGGCGAGCTACTTCCGCTGGCGACGTGGCGACCTTCCACGGGTGACGGAAACGCTCCAGTTTGTCCAGAAACGCGCCCATGGTAGTACCTGGCGCCGTCGCCGAGGGGGAGCTCTCCCACACGGCCGAGGCCCACTGATATACTACGTGCCCCGTGTAGGCAACCAGCGGGCCCGCCAAGGCCACAAACCTGCGCGATATGAGCCCGGGCCGAAGAATGGATCCTCTCGGGCGCCCCCCAATGCTACGGGCAACAGGAATAAGAAGGCCGCCCATGGCCGAAGGGGGGCCCCCAAAGACAATGCTCCCCCGAAGCGCTGCAGCAGTAGCCCCAACCCTTTGAACGAGGCCAACATCCGCACCTGGCCCCTTGACTTGGCAACAACAAACCTACTCCACGCGATGCCAACTCTTCGACGCGATCCCGAGGGCGCGCCCGTGCCGATATCCGAGCTGGGTCAACTTTGGACGACAGGGGGGTCCTCCGGCGATCCCTGAGACGCCTACACCCGTCCAGGCTGCAACTATACTTGGTCTCGCCCACGTCCACGACGATGTCCGATGACGGCCCATCCTCTCCATCGCTCTCGGGGAGGGCGGCAGCTCCGAGGGACCGTGCTCCTCGGCGGCGAGTCCGACCGCGTCGCCCGCCGCCCCCCCCCCCCCCTGCTATTGAGAGAGGATCTTGAACCCCCTGATCAGGCTAGCATGCTCTTCTGTGACTCCATGCATCAGGGCTCCTGCCTTCGCGTGGCGTTCCGCGGCCTGGTTAGGTCGAAGCTCCCACCAGGTCGTCTTTCCAGACTCAACGTCGGCACTGCTCGCGTGGGCAAGCGCTTTGAAAGCCGCACATTTCCGGCGGAAGAACGCGGTCAAAAAAGGCGCACACATGCGCCTTCTTGGGGCCCAAGCCTCGGTCCACGCGCCTGGGCCCCCGCAGAGAACATTGAGCGTCGAGTGGCAGTCGAGATGCAATTGGAAAGGCCCCCCCCCCCCCCCCCGCGCGCCAACGCGTGGATCGCGACATCTTCGCCAGCCTCGGCTGCCTGGCGGGGGCCGAAGGAGAAAGGCACAGGGCCAAACGCTGCGTGCAACGCATTGCCAAGCCTGCCTGCTTGAGCTACCGCCCAGCCAGCCCGACTGACTCCTTCAATCGACGGCCACGTGGCCGAGCCGTCACTGACAACACACCCCGCGAGGAATCCAAACGCGGGCTTGTTCACCCACCTGACAGCCTCATCGGGGTCTTCGTGGGGCACAAAAACCAAGGGCTTTGGGGTCGCGCACCTAGCGAAACGCTCCCGGGCCTCGACCCCCGGCTCCAACGCTCTGGCCGCGCGCTCTCAGCCGCGGCGAGACTACACCCCTCCTGGCCCTTTCATGCGCCACGCACTCATACTGCCTATGCCAGAGCGTACCTATACAGGCCTGACACAAACGACGCAATGGTGACGCACGCAGCCCATGTCCGTGCACCCATGCTTGCGGCCAGTGCGCGTTGCAAACCAGGGCTCTGAATGCGCGCTGGTGGCGGCTGGATCAATAATTTTTCTTGCTACGGAGGAGCCGGCGAAGCCCCCGCCAGAAAATAAGGAAACATCACGGTGGCCTCGGGGGCCCTCGCCCCAAAGCCGACCCGAAGTGTCCAAAGCAAAACGGTATGACGCCCGCGTGGCCCCGTCCTGCACCAGCCCTCTCAGCGCCGACGGCGAGAGCTGGCGCGGGCCCCACGCGCGCCCGAAAGCGCCCCTCAGGCGCGCGCTCCACAGAAATCTCCAGCCTATCCCGGACACGGTGAGGCAAGCTACTTCCGCCGGCGACTAGGCGACCCCCCACGGGTGACGGAAGCGCCACAGTTTGTCCAGAGCCGCGCTCATGGTAGCACCTGACACAGTCGGCGAGGGGAAGCTCTCCCACACGGCCGAGGCCCACTGATATACTACGTGCCCCGTGTAGGCAACCAGCGGGTCCGCCAAGGCCCCAAACCTGTACGAAGAGCCTGGGCCCAAGACTGGATCCTGTCGGGCGCCTCCCTGTGCTTCGTCCCTCAGGCGCGTGCTTGAGAGAAATCTCCAGCCAATCCTGGACACGGTGAGGCGAGCTGCTTCCGCCGGCGACGTGGCGACCTTCCACGGGTGACGGAAACGCTCCAGTTTGTCCAGAAACGCGCCCATGGTAGTACCCGGCGCCGTCGCCGAGGGGGGGCTCTCCCACACGGCCGAGGCCCACTGATATGCTACGTGCCCCGTGTAGGCAACCAGCGGGTCCGCCAAGGCCGCAAACCTGCGCGATATGAGCCCGGGCCGAAGACTGGATCCTCTCGGGCGCCTCCCAATGCTACGGGCAACAAGAATAAGAAGGCCGTGCATGGCCCAAGGGGGGCCCCACTGACACTGCCCCCCTGAAGCGCTGCAGCAGTAGCCCCGACCCTTTGAATGAGGCCAACATCCGCACCTGGCCCCTTGACTTGGCAACAGCAAACCGACTCCTGGCGATGCCAACCCTTCGACGCGATCCCGAGGGCGCGCCCGTGCCAATATTCGAGCCGAGTCCACTCTGGACGAGGAAGGGATCCTCTGGCGATGCCTGAGAGCCGACGCACGTCCAGGCTGCAACTATACTTGGTCTTGCCCACCTCCACGACGACGCCCGACGACGGCTCGTCCTCTCCATCGCTCCCGGGGAGGGGGCGGCAGCTCCGAGGGACTGTGCTCATCGGCGGCGGGTCCCACCGCGTCGCCCCTGCCGCCCCGCTGAGTGAGCCAGACTTCGAGCCTGCCCGCCCCCCCCAGCCCCCTGCTCTTGACGACAAAGGATCTTGAACCCCCTGATCAGGCTAGCATGCTCTTCAATGACTCCTTGCATCAGGGCTCCTGCTTTCGCGTGGCGGTCCGCGGCCTGGTTAGCTCGGAGCTCCCACCAGGTCGTCTTTCCAGACTCAACGTCAGCGCTGCCCGCGCGGGCAGGCGCTTTGACAACCGCAAATTCCCCGCGGGGAAACGCGGCCAAAGAGGCGCACACATGCGCCCTCTTGGGGCCCAAGCATCGGTCCACGCGCCTGGGCCCCCGCCCCGCAGAGAACATTGAGCGTCGACTGGCAGTCAAGATGCAATTGGAAGGCCCCCCCCCCCCCCCGCGTGCGCCAACGCGTGGATCCCGAAATCTTCGCCAGCCTCGGCTGCCTGGCGTGGCGGGGGCTGAAGGAGACAGACACAGGGCAAAACGCTGCGCGCAACACATTGCCAAGCCTGTCTGCTTGCACTACCGCCCAGCCAGCCCGACTGACTCCTTCGATCGACGGCCGCATGGCCGACCCGTCACTGAAAACACACCCCGCGAGGAATCCAAACGCGGGCTTGTTCACCCACCTGACAGCTTCACCGGGGTCTTCGTGGGGCACAAAAACCAAGGGCTTTGGGATCACGTACCTAGCGAAACGCTCCCGGGCCTCGACCCCCGGCCCCACCGCTCTGGCCGCGCGCTCTCTCAGCCGCGGCGAGACTCCATCCCTCCTGGCCCCTGCTCGCGGCCAATGCACGTTGCAAACCAGGGCTCTGAATGCGCGCTGGTGGTGGCTGGACATCTTTCTTGCTGCGGAGGAGCTGGCGCAGCCCCCGCCAGAAAATAAGGAAACATCACGGTGGCCTCGGGGGCCCTCGCCCCAAAGCCGACCCGAAGTGTCCAGAGCAAAAGTGTATGGCGCCCGCGTGGCCCCGTCCTGCACCAGCCCTCTAAGTTCCGACGGCGAGAGCTGGCACGGGCCCCACGCGCGCCCGAAAGAGCCCCTCAGGCGCGCGCCCGACAACAAATTCCAGCTCATCCTGGACACGGTGAGGCAAGCTACTTCCGCTGGCGACTAGGCGACCCTCCACGGGTGACGGAAACGCTCCAATTTGTCAAGAACCGCGCCCATGGTAGCACCTGACACCGTCGGCGAGGGGAAGCGCCCCCACACAGCCGAGGCCCACTGATGCACTACGTGCCCCGTGTAGGCAACCAGCGGGTCCGCCAAGGCCCCAAACCTGTACGAGTTGAGCCTGAGCCCAAGACTGGATCCTGTCGGGTGCCTCCCAATGCTACGGGCAACAAATATAAGAAGGCCGTCCATGGCCGAAGGGGGGATCCCACTGACACTGCTTCCCCAGAACGCTGCAGCAGTAGCCCCAACCCTTGGAATGAGGCCAACTTCCGCACCTGGCCCCTTGACTTGGCAACAGCAAACCGACTCCTGGCGAAACCAACTCTTCGACACGATCCCGAGGACGCGTACGTACCAAGATTCGAACCGAGCCCACTCTGGACGAGGAACGGATTCTCCAGCGATCCCTGAGAAGCCTAGACACGTCCAGGCTGCAACTATACTTGGCCTTGCCCACGGCAACTGGAAGGCTGAAGCGATCGAAACCTGTCAGCAGCGACTCCACCCCCTCACCGGGAACCTGGGCCACCTGCTCCTTCCTCCCACACACCTGAAGTGCAATGTCACCGACGACGTTACTAACCATCAACTGCGGTCTCCCCTGCGCCAAAGTAGCAGTTTCGCAAAACAAGATGCTCCACTGCAGCCTGCAATCACGAACCCGTTAGCATGCACAATTCGTGACACCGCTGCCCAGTACAGTAGCGTGCGGAGACATACATAGATCGTGCACAGGCAGCACAACAACCGAATTGGAAAGTTGAATTTCAGCGCCGCCTCACACCTCACATAGGTGCTCGTGACCGATGTGCTCGTAAAACTTGGAAGGGTCTGAACGGGCGGAGGCCGACTCGAACCCGACCCCTTTCAAGAAACTCCCAAGGAGGTTATGGACCCACCCATCTCGCTCACACGTGGTAGTTTTGCTGACCCCCCAGAAGACGTCCTCCATGTGCTCACGCTCCCAACGCTTGAGCATTGACTGCCTCACCCTGGACCATATCTGCATACAAAAAAGCCAGCAGGCCGATGAAACGCCTCCGTCGGCCTTGTCGGTAAAAAAACGACGTTCGTCATGAAGAAAAAACAATTCCTGTGGAGACTCGTCTTCTAGTTGCTTGCGTGGGAAGACCCTGTGCTGAATGCGCCAGAGGCCGCGGGGCGCCCTGGCACACAGAAACACACAAGCGTTCTGGACAAGCCCGAAGCTGGAATGAGGAGGAGGAGGAAGACGAGAACGAGGAGGAGGAGAAGCGAGAGGACGAGGAGCCATAGGAGGAGGAGAAGGACGAGGAGGAGGAGGAGGAAGAGGAGGAGGAGGGGGTGGTGGAGGAGGAGGACGTCCCCGTTTTTTGGTGTCCACCCCTCCTACCTAGGGTAGCAGTGGCGGCAAATCGCCCCCACACGACCGATCCCCCTTCTTGATGGGCCGATTTTCCACCACCACCACAGATAGGCAAAGGAGAGGGAGGAAGAGGAGGAGGAGGAGGAGGAGCAGGAGGAGGAGGAGGAGGAGATGGAGGAGGAGGTAGAGGAGGAGGATGAAGAGGAAGAGAAGGATGAGGATGAGGAGGAGGAGTAGGAGAAGGCCAGGGAGGGGAGGAGGAGGAGGAGGAGGAGGAGGAGGATGAGCAGGAGGTGGAGCAGGAAAAGGAGGAGGAGGAGCAGGAGGAGGAGGAGGACGAGAGGAAGGAGGAGGAGGAGGAGGAAGAGGGGAGGAGGAGGAGGAGCAGAGGGGGAAGGAGCAGGAGGGGGAGGAGCAGGAGGAGGGAGAGAGGGAGGAGGGAGGAGGAGGAGGAGGAGGAGGACGAGGAGGAGAAGGAAGAGGAGGAGGAGGAGGAGGAGAAGGAGGAGGAGGAGGAGGAGGAGGAGATGGTGGAAGAGGAGGACCTCCCCGGCCGCTCTTGTGTTGCCCCCCCCCCCTCCTGCCTGTGGTGGTGGTGGCGGCCAGACGGCCCCTCGCTTCCCTCCGCAGAGCACCTCGCAATCGCCGTACCGCCACGTGCCCACCAGCGGCGAGGCCCGGGCGGCGCCCTCGCCCCCGGGCGGCGGGGGGCACTCCCCGCCCTCGCCGGCGGGCCGCTCGCCGGGCGGGCGGCTGCCGAGGCCGCCGCCGAACGTTGCCTGCAGCCTGAAAGGGGCCCGGGGACACACACACACACAGATCAATGCACACAAATACTTACCGTCGCTCGGACGTCCAGTTCCCGTGCTTTGTTCGGTTTCGCGCGTGGTTCTTTTGCTCGATGCTCCAAGATGGTCCTCGACGGTTCTCGCCGAGAAAATGCACACCTCCGAGCGACGCAAGGAATACAAGAATGCCTAAACTTTTGAATATGTTCTGAGTTTTCGTCTTCCCCCTCACTTCCGATATGTTCCCATACTCACCTGGGAGTCGACGGGTCATTGCGTCTGTGTGCCTTTCCCCTCCTGAAGCCTCGATGCGACGCCGCGGGAGAAGCCACCGAAGCTGTCGCCGCCGCTCTCCTGCAAGGTTCTCGCCTTCGTCGTCGTCGTCGTTCTCGTCGTCGTCCTCGTCATCGTCGTGTTCGTCACCATCATCGTTGTCGGCGCCCTCGTCGTCGCAGTCGTCCTCGCAGTCCTCTTCGCCTTGCGAAACTGAACGTCGTAAACTTTACAAAAAAACTCCCCTCGCCCAACTTTCGCTGCTCACCTGTGCTCGCGGTGTGACTCGGACTTGGGGTGCCGACGCGGCGTGGGAGAAACTCGCGTTGAACTTGCGCGGAAGGGTGGTGGGAGCTGGAAGGCACGACGACAGGCCAGCACCATGTGACCCTTTTGGAGGCGCACGCCCGAACCAACCATGGTGGTACAAGATCTTGCCGTGCGTGTATATGTATATATGTATGTATATGTATGTAGCTGTATTTATACGTGTGTATATACATATATATATATATATAGAGAGAGAGAGAGAGAGAGAGAGAGAGAGATACTCCGTGTCCCACCAGCCCTCTGGGCGACAGTTGGTCAGAGGAGGGTCTCTCTCCTCTTCCACGACCCCTCTTCCACTCGGGGAGCGGAACCCTCCCCCTCCCCTTCCTGAAGTTTTTTTTGGGGGGATCGCCAGGTGTCGGAGGCCCCTTTGTCGGCCACTGGGAGGGCCATTCGCTACCACCCCTCACGAGGATCGTGGCCCCCGAAGAGGACCTAAATCGAGTGCCCCCCTGTTTTGACCGACGGCCTCCAAGATGGCCCCGAGAGGCCCTCCGGGGCTCCCTAGAGGCCCCCGAGAGGGTCCCACTGGCGCCCCGAAAAGCCCGAAGAGGGCTCAAAGATGCCCCCGAAAAAACCCCCAGAACCCCCGAACGACCTCAGAGAGCCCAAGATTCAAAGATGGCTCAGACAGCCCAGGCTAGCTCAAGATGGCTCCTAAAATGCTCCAAGCGGCCCCGAGGCCGCTCCAAGACGGCTCGAGATGGCCACGGAGCCTCCCAAGCCCGCCCTCGCTGTTTGACAGTGCGTGTCTCTTCGTTTCTCCCCCCGTCAACTCTCACGGGCATCGCTTCTGCATGGGTAATGGGGATTTGTTCTTCGCGAGCGCAAGCGAAAAGGGCCGCGCGCCGTCCAATCTACAGCTAACAAGCAGGAGCCTAAATTGCACCGAGAGAGAGAGAGAGAGAGAGAGAGAGAGAGAGAGAGAGAGAGAGAAAGAGAGATAGAGAGAGAGAAAGAGAAAGAGAAAGAGAAAGAGAGAGAGAGAGAGAAAGAGAGAGAGAGAGAAAGGTAATGAGAGATAGAGAGACAGAGAGAAATAACAAAAGAGAGAGAGAGAGAGAGAGAGAGAGAAAGAGAGAAACAACGACACGATAACAGGGGGAGGTGGGACTAGCCGGGGCGGGCCGCGCGGCGCTCAAGGGGGGGGGGGGGTCGGCAGCTAGCGAAGCTGGTGGGGAGACGCGAAGCGTCAATAATTTCAGAAAACAGCAGAAAAATCATCGGGGGCGTCACCCCTGCCGACAGCCCCGCATCGACACCCGTCGCGGGCAGCCACCGCGCGCCAAAGGCGCTCCGACCCCCGTCGCGGCGCGACGGCGAAGCAAGTCCGAGGTTGGCCCCCGTCTGTGGGGTACCCCCCCCCGCGCTTATGAAGAAACTCGATGGAATGTGTATATATATATATATGTTTATTTATATACCCGTATGACTCTCGATGTTATTGCCATTCGACTTGTGATTAGCATTATTCGTATCGTTGGTATGAGAATTATTGGTAGTAGTACTCTTATTCAAAGTGAGGGGGCTGAACCGAACGGTCATTCACTGTCCCTGGGTGCGTAGTTGAAGTGAAATTCCGCGATGCGGATTATTGTTGTGGTTGTTGTTGTCGTCCCTCACAGATTACCTAGAAATCGGGGTCTCGTTGCCCTTCGTGGCCCCGTTGCAACCCTTCGTGGCCCCCTCGTTTTGTTTCGTCGCTCCGTTGCAGCCCTTTGTGGCCCCCTCGCTGCCCTTCGTGGCCCCGTTGCAGCCCCTCGTGGCCTCCTCGCTGCCCTTCGTGGCCCCGTTGCAGCCCTTCGTGGCCCCCTCGCTTTGTTTCGTGGCCCCGTTGCAGGCCTTCGTGGCCCCCTCGCTGCCCTTCATGGCCCCGTTGCAGCCCTTCGTGGCCCCGTTGCAGCCCTTCGTGGCCTCCTCGCAGCCCTTCGTGGCCCCGTTGCAGCCCCTCGTGGCCCCCTCGCTGCCCTTCGTGGCCCCATATATGTATGCCCTTCGTGGCCCCCGCTCGTTCGCGCCCGCGGTTGCCCCATATGCATACCCTTCGTGGCCCCGCTGTCGCCCTTCGTGGCCCCCTCGCTGCCCTTCGTCGCCCCGTTGCTGCCCTCAGTGGCCCCGTTCTTGCTCTCCGCGGCCCAATATACGTGCGTATGCACTTCGTGGCCCCCGCTCGTTCGCGCCGGTTTTGGCCCATGTGCATGCACTTCGTGGCCCCGCTGTCGCCGTGTGTGGCCCCCTCAGTGTCCTACGTGGCCCAGTTGCTAACTTCAGTGGCCCCATGGTTGCCTTCTGTGGCCTCGCATTATCTGCCTTTCGTGGCCCCCGCTCGTTCGCGCCCTTCCTGGCCCCATACGCATTCTCTTCGTGTCCCCACTGTCGCCCCTCGTGGCCTACTTCGTGTCCTTCGTGGCCCTGCTGTCGTTCTCTCTCGCTCTCGCTTTCGTTCGTCGTCGTCGTCGCCGTCATCGTCGTCGTCGCCGTCGTCGTCGTCGTCGTCGACGTCGTCGTCGTCGTCGTCGTCGTCGTCGTCGTCGTCGGCGGCGGCGGCGGCGTCGTCGTCGTCGTCGTCGTCGTCGTCGTCGTCGTCGTCGGCGTCGTCCTCGTCGTGGTCGGTCCCCTGTTCGTCCCTCTGGGGGTCGGGTCGACGGCCCTGCCGATCAGCGCTGCCGCTGGTCAGGCCGACGGTCCGCGGCCGCCCCGCCGCTTGCCGGGGCCCGGCCTGCAGGGAAAAAGGTATACCCCCCAAAAGAGGTTCGATCGAAGACGGACAAGGCGGGTATCGAGGGTTTGGGAAATACGCGTTGTTGGACACTCGAGCAGATAAGGGCGAACAACCTTAAAATGTTTATCATTGTTGTTGTTGCTGTTGTTATTTGTTGTTTGTTGTTTGTTGTCCCACCCGCGACCGGCCCCGCGACCCACCCGCGACCCACCCGCGACCCAACCGCGACCCACCCGCGACCCACCCCGCGACCCACCCGCGACCCACCCCGCGACCTCCCCGCGACCCACCCGCGACCCACCCCCGACCCACCCAAAATGTTCGGCGCCTGCGGCGGGTTTCTTTTGCATTCGTTCCAAGTGGAGAACCTGCGACCCACCCGCGACCCCAACCGCGTTCAGTGTACAAATCAATTTTAGTCGGCGCCTGCGGAGGGCTGTTTTGGAATTCTTTCCAAGTGGAGGTGGAAAGCCCGCGACCCACCCGAGACCCACCTGCGACCCACCCCGCGACCCACCCGCGAACCACGCGACCCACCCGCGACCCACGGCGACCCACCCGCGACCCACCGCGACCCCACCCCGCGACCCCCGCGACCCACCCGCGACCCATCCGCGGCCCACCCGCGACCCCGCCCACGGGCGCGTCGCCCGCGCCCGCCCCCTCTCTCTTGTCCGCAATTGCGGGGTGCTACGTGTTGCTAGTGATAGGATTATCATGTGTATGAGTATATACAAATAGATCGCTTCCAAGGTGCTGTGGCCCGAAGAGCCCGCCACGGAGCTCCTGCTCCTGGAGGATGCCCGAGCGTGCGCGCCGCCCTGGCGTGGCCGACGCACCTATGGCACACGCATGTCTGGACGGTGCCGAAGCGCGGGAACGCTGCGCACACGCGCGCGCGCGTGCGCCGGCCCTGGCCGGACCCATCCTGGGCCCATTACCGGCGCGTATGCGCTTAAATCGGGCATGTCCCTCTACAGGAGGAATCTTCGAGCATAGTTAAAAAATCATCTGGGGGCGATGTTTTGGTTGTTCTCGACTGTTTTTGGGGGTATTCGTTGAGCATGTCTCGCTAGTTCCCCAAAGTCCGCCTGTAGGTGGACATGCCCGACCTAAGTATACGCCCTCCTGGCCTTGGCCAGGGAGCCGCGTGCGCCCAGCATGGGCCCCGGACAGCATCGGTGTGTGCAGGGGCCCCTCCACCTGGGGTCCGAGCGCAGGGGATCGGAGCATCGCGCCGCACCGCCGCTGCGTCGGCGACAGATCGACGAGGCACCGTCAACGTCCGCAGTGCATCGGCGCACCGCTGGTGCGAGGCACCGTCAACGTCCGCAGTGCATCGGCGCACCGCCGGTGCATCGGCGATGCGGCGCGACCCTCCGACCACATCTGCTCGGACCCGCCCTGGGAGGCCCAGGAGGTGTGCGCAGTTTCTCTGCGCTCGAGCTCCTTGAGCTTGGACTCCACCCTCGACGCGATGCCCCTCGACATATCGCCGAACTTGTAGCCCTCGGAGCCGCCGCGCTCCTTGCGGCCAGCGTCCATCAGGTCGCGCGTGCCCCTCGCGAACAGGTAGGGCACCATTGCCCTCTTGGCCATGAGGCCGCCTCCAGGCGAATTGCTGTCGCTGGAGGAGATCTTGGACAAGGCGCGGCACCGCCTCTTCTCGAGCTCCGACTTGTCAATGCCGGATCCGAGCAGCGACTTGTGGTAGGCAGCTGCCAGGAGAACATCTGGCGGAACCTCGCCCTGGGGCGACAAGAACAGGGCCGCAATGTCATCAATGGCGTCCGCGCGGACTATCTCCTTGCATGGTCGTTCGGCGACCCACAGGGTCAGGGAGCTCAGGAGCCTCCCCTGGACAGCAGAACGCAAACATAGCAATCCTGATGGATACTGATTGTTATCGAGTTGCTCCTCCTTGAACCCCTTTTCGCGACTTTGTCTCTGGATGGTCCCAGGGCACAGTGGGGCAGCCCGCGTGTCGGGGGGACGTGCGAGGGTGGAGTAAGGTCAGACGGTCAGAGGTGGGGTCAGGGGAAAATCACTCTGGACGGCCCTTGGAAGAGGGATCTGTGAGCATCCAGCCGGGTTCGTTCAATGACCCCACCCGTGGAACCCCCGACCAGGTCCGAAGCGCCAGAGACCCCACGGGCCAGCACTGCCAGAGGACGCCCGCCGCGACTGCACGGCCCTCCAAGGGACAAGCTGACCGAGCGACCACGGCACCTCAAGAGGAATTCAGCACCGCATAACCAGAAGGTTTCCGAACTCCGCGCGGATTTCCTGGCGGTGCGCGGAGCCCCCTCCCTGGCGCGCGGAGATCCGACAGCGTATGTCCATGCAGCTGATTCTTCTTCGAGCAGCCTCTGGGCCGGAGGCCCTCTCCGAATGGGGGCTCGACCGCAGAATCGGTTCACCCCAGCATTGACTTTCGCGTCGAGATCAGAAAACAAACGCGTCGAGTGGTCGCGGACGTAGCCACTATGATACAGAGCAATACATAGGATTGTTAAGCATATCGGATTTCTAAGACAGTATTAATTTACGGATGAATTTATGCATGAACCCATCGTTGTTTTTGATACGAAATCCCTGCATTTTCAATACATGACCCGCACGCGGAGCATGCATTAAAAACGGCACCGCACGCAGGCTCGCAGGCTCGACGAACACCTAAATTTCTGGGGTGCCTCAGCTCTGTCGCCGGTCCCCCCACCTCCACCCCCTGGCCATCGCTTGGACGTCCATTCCCTGTGTTTTTTTCGGTTTCGTGCGTGGTTTTTTCGCCAGATGAGCAAGGATGCTCCTCCATGGTCCTCGCCGAGAAGAAATGCACACGTCCGACGATGCCAAGCGGGCCCCTGGACCCAGGATGGGGCCCCGAGGAGGGGCCCCCCGAGGGCCGACAGGGGCCGCGAGCGACCACGCCGTCTCCTCCTCCCTGCGGGCGAAGAGCGCCAGGCCGATGCGGAACGCGGCCTCGATGCCGTCGGCGAGCACGGCGTCCCACGCCCGCAGGAGCGCCTCGCCCTCCAGCGTGATCGGGGGGGCCGGGGGGCCGAGCGGGCGCGCCCGCCCGGGGCGGCGGGGGGCAGGAGGAAGGGGCCCTGGGACACGCAAATAAATACACGCAAAGAAATGGATTCACCAATATTTTCCTATACTTTCTGGGTGTTTGTCTTCCCCACCACTTCCCATATTTTCCCACATTCTCTGGGGAGTCGACGATTCATTGTGTCTGTGTGTTTCTTTCCCTCCTGACAGGAGGAGAGCGGCGCTCCTGGCGAGGACCGCTCTGACTACCTACCAGGCCACCCCAACCCAACCCGAAGACCCGAATTTCGGGTTGGGGGGGGGGGTATGGGTTCCATGTGTGTGTGTGTTTTCTATGTTCCCGGACCCCCCCCCACTGGAAATGGAGGGCAAATTGAAGCCTTTGGGTCGGGTTGGGATGGTTTGGTGGGTGGTGACGCTCGGGAATTTCCCGGCGCAGCTCGTCCAAAGTGCCCTCGCCCCCACCAGCGCAGAGGGGCCCGAGTGTCTCCGAGACGGCAGGGCTCTCTTCGGGCAGGGCTCTCTTCGGGCTGCGCAGCAGCAGCCCCCGCAGGTGGTCCCCGCAGGCCTCTCCACGGGCCGCCCGAGCAGCCCCCGGGCGGCCTCAACACCCAGGGGCACCGCCTCCAGCGGCGCCCCCCGGGGCGCTCCGCTCCGCGCCCCCGGCTCGCCATCGCCCGGACGTCCATTCCCTTTTTTTTTCGATGTCGTGCGTGGATTTTTCGCCAAATGATCAAGGATGCTCCTCGATGGCCCTCGCCGAAAGAAAAATGCACACGCCCGGGCGATGCCAAGCAGGGTCGAGGCACCGAGAAACACGACTACACGGGGGGCTTGCTGAGGCTGGCGTGCTGGGGGTGTCTGCGCGCAATCCGGAGCCTCACCGCTCTGGAAGCCCGCGGGTGTCCAGGATGCGTCGGGCGCCGCGATCGCTCCAGAACTCCCCCGGAGCGTGCCAGAACGCTCTGGGACGATCGATTCCTCATCCCAGGCCTGCCTGAGCCCAGCCTCCTGGAATTCGGCGGCAACTCTTTGAAGTCTATCGTTGTCTCTCTCGGTAAGCAATAACTGCGCCTTGATTGACAGCCAGATTAAAGAGGACTGACAACATCACAAAACCAGATAAGACAAATTGCGCGATTGACAGGGGGGCTGCTGAGCCAGGTTGAACAGGATTTGGCCCTGCATCCAACCGACTTGCAGGCGCCATGGAATCTGGGGAGACATCATGGCACCCGCCATGGTAACCGCCCCCCCATGGTCATCACCCCCCTCCTTGGCCGCCCCCGAAGGCTGGCAGGCACACAAGGGGGACGCCGCACCGGGGTGGGCGAACGCGCTGCGGCACCCGGATCGAGAAGAGCGACAGGAACCACTTGGGGGTCACGAGCAGGGGCTCGAAGTCGTGTGTCCTGGCAGGGAGCGAACAAACGCCGGAGTCGTGCGTGCTCCCCTGGGGAGCTCGCCCGTGCCCATTGAGGCACGGCGCGGAGGCCGTGCCCTCGACGGGAGAATTTTCCGTTCAAGCATGTGAAGCGCGTCTGCCCGCTCATGCGATGACCACCGCTTTGTGCACGCAGCGGCCCGGACCCGTCGTGGGTCGTTCGCGTGGCTGTGCTCTTGACGTCCAAGTTTCAAGGGGCCCAAGGACACACAAATAAATACACACAAATAGAAGGATTCCCCATATTTTCCCATATTTTTATAGTTTTCGTCTTCCCCTCCACTTCCCATATTTTCTAATATTTTCTGGTGAATCGACGATTCATTGTGCTTCTGTGTGTTTTTTCCCTCCTGAAGGTTGGGCGGCTGCCAGAGAGGCGAGCCGCAGAGGCTCGGGCCCGGGCGGCGGCCCCCGGGGGGCACGGTGCCCGCGAGCTTCGCGAGGAGCGCCCGCGCCCGGGCTCTCGCTCCGCCCCCGGGTCCCCCGCCCCCCACCGTGGCTCGAGGTCCGATGTGCAGGACGATTTTCTTTGTGCCAGTCTTTGATCCACCGTCTCTTTCACGAGCTGAATCATCGCCTTAAACCTGAGCTCGTCGACGGTGGATCAGATGGACGGATGCTCTTCAAGAGCCAGCATATTGCTGATCCGTCCATCATCACGTTTGCCATTTCTCTTTCTTGATGGCTACAGTCCAAACGTGTATTAAGGACGGGCGGTAAGGACGCGAGACCCTTGGTGGCCGAAATTGGGTTTTTTAGGGCGGCCAGCGACCAGTGATAATGGCAAGGGCGGGCCTCAGAGGCAAGGACACAAGGGTACCCTAGATGAAGGCGCGCGTCCTTGCTAGGCGCGTTGGCTGTATGTAGTGCAAGTCCAAGAGGTGCACTGCATGTCGTGTTCGGTCGGGGGTGTCCTCCCACAGTGGGATCTTGGACGGAACATGAGAAGATAGTCCAGACGTTATCCAAGAACGTAGTCAAAGAATGGTCAAACAATCGTCCCCAGGCCCGACTTACATGTCGTACCATTTAGAGTGTGCAATCTACGTGGTGCAATGTTTACGCGGTGTACTATTTACTACGCCGTGCATAGTACGCTGTGCACCCCATGTGGTGCAGTATGATGCGTTGTGCAATCCACATCGTGCGATATACGAGGTGCAGTCTACGTGGTGCAGTGTATGTGGTGCAACTCATTTGCCGAACTTGAACTTGTCAACTCCACTGCTCGTGCAGTCATCCCACCCACCCACCCGCAACTTGGTTTGCAAAATCTCTTAAGACCGTGACGGTGGGTAACAAATGGCACTTGGCAACGACAGCGACGCCGACGGCGACAGCGACAACGACGACGACGCCGCCGACAACGACTACGACGACACCGACAACGCCTCCAACGAGTTCGACGACGCCGACAACGACGACGACGACGACACCGACGACGCCGACGACGACGACGATGACAACGACGACGACGATGACGAGGCCGACGACGACGACAATGACGACACCGACGACGACGACGACGACGTCAACGACGCCGCCGCCGACGACGACGACGATGACAGCGGCGACGTCGACGACGCCGACGTCGACGACGACGAAGACGACGACGACGCCGACGCCGACGACGACGAAGACGACGACGACGTCGCCAACGAAGACGACGACGAGGGAGGAGGGAGGACGACGACGGCGACAACGACGAGAACGACGACAACGACGAGGGAGGAGGGAGGACGGCGACGACGCGAACGACGAAGGAGGAAGGACGGCGACGCCGACGACGACCATGACGAGGGAGCAGGGAAGACGACGACGACAACGACGACGACGACGACGACGACGACGGCGACGAAATAGGAGGAACGACGACGAGTCGCCGACGACGGACGACGGCGACGACGAGGGAGGAGGAAAGACGACCACGGCGACAACGACGACGGAAACGACAACGACACCAAAGAGGACGACGACGACGAACACGAGGAAGGACAGAGGACGACGCAGGCGACGACGACGACGACGCGGGAGGAGGGAGGACGGCGACGACGACGACGACGACGCAAGAACGCGCGCGCACGTTTTTCTTGAAAATCCATGTTGTTAAACCGTGTGTTATTATGTAGGTTTTTTGGACACACAATTTTGAAATCCTTTCGACCGATGGGTTTTGAAGGCTTTCGGCAGACGCGCGCGACGACGCGCGCGTCTGCACTTCGTCCCATTTTTTGCAGAGGATTCTCGCGACGGCACACGCGCAAGGGCGTTCGACAGATTTCGACATGCGCGCGCGAAGCCCGTTTGGTAGCATTTTGTGAAGATTTCGCAAGAGCTCGCGCGTAAGCTTTTTTTAGCAAATCACTGTTGCGAAACCCTGTGTTTTTGTATGTATGTTGGAAACTCGATTGCAAAATCCTTCCGACACCAGATGTTTTTGAAGGATTTCGGCATGCGCGCGCGACGACGCGCGCGTGTGCACTTCGTCCCATTTGTTGCAAGGGATTCGTGAAAACGTCTTATGCTAGAACAACAAATGTCCCCGCGTATCGTTTTTTTACCATGGAGCCTCAGGGGGAGCGATCCCGGCCCCCCCCGGGATAATGTAAATTCATATTTAGGATGGATATGTGGTCAGAATCATATATATGTACATGCCCGAAAATGGGGCGGATATCTCCGGGGGGGGAGTCTATTCTGTTTCTAGACAAGAAAATATATGCTGCGCAATCCAGGGCGACGACGAGGCGATGGGCGGCGACGAGGCGACGACGGCGGTCACGTAGCCGCCAGGCCGAACGCACGGCCCGATTCCTTAGAGCAGACGTAAGACACCCCAAGTCAAAGCACTGCGGGATAACAACTTGCACAAGCAAAGCTTGGACGCCCGACATGGGAACGGGCAAGCATGGCCACCAGTCCAGCAGCGTACTGTCTCCGTGTGTCTCAGCAACCGTGTGGAGAGGGTACAACTGAAGGGGCCCTGGGACACACACACACACAGAAATACACACAATTCACCGGATTCCCAATATTTTCCCATATGTTCTGTGTGTTTGTCTCCCCCCACACACTTCCCATATTTTCCTATAGTTTCGAGGGAATCGACGATTACTTGTGTTTGTGTGTTTTTGTTTGCCCTCCTGAATAACGAAGAACTGGGGGCATGACGACCCAAATCCAGGACTTCCTGAGAGTTCCGACTGGACCAACCATTTCGGGCCAAACTTCGGGACACACACACGGGGGGCCGTCCATCCTCGACAGGGGTGCATCCGCATGGCCCCCCCAAGGGGGTGCATCACCAAATTCAATGTTTTTTTTCTGGACGGCCTGATTTCTCGGGGGGAGCTCGGAGACTGAGGGAGAGAAATCGCCTGCGCGGGAGGAGAAAAAAGATGAGGCGAGAGTTTAGACGCCCGACATGGGTACGGCAACAATGTGCACGTGACCCAAAGCCTACGACGCCCGCGGCGGCACGGACAGCGAGTCATGTTCAGAATGAACGCGACCTGCTGCCCGCCGTCATACCCATTCTTTCCGTGCGTGCTTGAGCGACCATGAGAAACGGGTCGTCCGTAGGAGAACGCAGCGACCTTACGCGGCAGCTTGCGCGCGCCGGCAACGCGGCACGCCACAATGGAAACGAAGGCGCTTACGCACGACCTTACGCAAGAAACTTACGCGCGAGCGTCGGCGCAGCCGAGCCCTCCCTCTGTTCGGCGCCCTTCACTTCGATATTACCGGCAAATGTTTTGAAGTCAGCGCAGATGATGTCTCGGGCCGGCGTCTCACTCTGGCGCGCGGAACGCGCCAGGGGCGACGCCAGGGGCGCCGGCGGCGAGGTCCCGGCGCCGACTCCAGCAAAATCCACTGCAAATCCAAGGGTTTGTGTTTCCGTGTTTCATGGATTTCCTCTCGTTCAATCAATTCCCAACATTTCGGCATATCGTCGTGAATCTCAACGTTGATGTGTTTGTGGAGATTCTTCCCTCCTGAACTGCGTCATGCCCTGTACTTCGCCGCTGCGCAGGCCTCCCGAATGCGGCTGCAGCAAACCGGGCGGGGGAGTCGCAGAGCATCTCCGAGGCATCGGCGACGCAGAGATGGAGGAAAACGGGGCTCGGGGTCGCGCCGCATCGCCGACGCATCGGCGATGGGCTTCTGCTCACCGCCGTCTGTGGCAACTCATGGGAGGCCACCGTGTCATCCTCCCGCCTCTCGCGGATCGATGCGAACCGACGCAACATGGACGTTGCATCGACGCTCATCGACGTTGGACTGGAACTTCCTCATCGGCTACCAGACGCTAGCGCACGAAAGCGTGCTCCGAAGACCGAATCCCGAGGGCATACACAGCTGCCATGAGTTGCTATCGAAGCCGCCGGTCCTGAACGCGCCGTTGATTACGGGCAGCCTCTCCTGCAGCAGGTCCCGCAGCACCAGCGCGTCGGCGCGCAGCTGCTCCATCCCCTCCGCGTACCACTGGCGGGCCCGCAGCAACGCGACGAGCGCGCCCATGGCGGCGGGCACATGCTCGTCGGCGCCGAGGACGAGCACCAGGATGCCGGCCAAGAAGTTCAGCGACTGCACGTATCCTGTCAGGAAAGCGCCGACAAACCACCCACACCGACTGGCCCCATCTTGCCCCCAGGATCCGGAGGAGCAGACAGCAGCGCAAGCGTAACCTCTCGGAGGTGCGCTCGGATTTATTGGATCGGCGCTGGGCCCCGCTCACTGGCGGGCGGGACGCGCCAGGGGCGGCGCCAGAGGCGCCGCCAGAGGGGTCCAGAGCAGGTCAAACAAATCTGCTCGGAAATTAGAAAGTTCATGTCAGAAACATCTGCTTAGCGTGTCGCCGCGGCGGCTCCGGCGACACGCCGCTATGCCCTGCAAGCGGAAAGCGTGTCGCTCCGCTCCGCGGGGCGGGATGCTCGGAACAGCTCGGGACGTTGATGTTTGGGATTGGGGAAGTGGATCGCGCGTCGGGCCGAAATGTGGTAGGCGAGAGCAGGAGGAGCGACAAACTATACAAAACTATCAGACCATATGTTGTGATTTGTTCTTCTTCGACGATGGGAGCGTATGCCTCCTGGCCTGGCCAGGAAGCCAGGTATACCGATCCTGCCACATTCGGCCTGGCCATTGAGCAGGGACGTCCCGGCATCCCTGCAGGCCTACCACAGAGTGCTCGTAGAACAAAAAACATGTTCTCATAACACAAGCAAGATTCTGAGAACATAACACCGCCGACTTACACTAAGACTGTCTCAACCATACATCGTCTGAGAACATTGCGCGCAAACCACACAAGGTTCTCGGAGCATCCTTCGGTGGGCATGTGGGCGAGTCAGGACGCCTCGCCACTGCTTGATGGCCATGATCGGTGCAAGCATATGGCTGGCGCCCTCCGGCCTATGTCTGCGTTGGCCGCCGCGAAGCGCCGGAGCACGCTGCGCAGCCTGTCCGCGCTGCACGCGTCCTTGAACTCCTGCCAGGGTCGACCAGCAATGGGGGCCCAGCCAGAAACAGTCAGGCGGACCGCCCTCAGGAAGCGCTGGGGTCCGCTGGATCCCCGCCTAGCCGAGATCAGGAGGCAGCGCCTAGGAAATCTTCGCAACAACGACCCAGGACTCGCCCGATCAGGGCGCCGTTGAGTTGGACGAGGCCAAATAAAGCCCGGGATTCAACAGAACGAAGCCCGACCAGTCATGGTCAAACGGAACTGCTTGAGATCAGGACGGTGTTCGACTTCGGATATGCTCCAAATTCCCAGGAGTTGCGTTAGAGCGAGCATGTCCTCCTACAAGAGGATTTGCGACGAAAAATAAAACAAAAACGCATAACAAATTCACAAAGCAAAAAAAACGAAGCGATGTAATCCTAAGCGAGAGAGCGGCCCTTCTGGACTGCTGAGCGCCCGGCGTCCCGTCTTCTGCCTCTCATGCTGCCTCCCCTCGCTCCGGCCCTGCCCCCACGGGAGACCCGCCGTGCGGACCAGATCCGTATCCACAACTGCCCACTGCGTCGTTGACTGCTGGGCTCCCTTCCCAAATCTCAGAGCGCTCCTGACCCTTAGTGGGCCCCGGAAGCGGCAGGGCCGTTTTTTCACCGTTTCCGAAAAGTGTCCCTTGCAGATGGAAAGGGCAAAATTATCCCGGCAAAGCAACCTAACAGCGATGTGTAGGAGCATATCTGGAAGCATTCCCCTTAAGATTCAGATAAGAATCCTGTTGTAGAATTCTGCTGTTCTCGCAGTCGTGGTCGCATTCGCGATGGCAGTCGCAGTGGCAACAGCAGTCGCAGTCACAGCCTCAGCCTCAGCCTGCCTCAGCCTCAGCCTCAGCCTGCCTCAGCCTCAGCCTGCCTCAGCCTCGCCCTCAGCCTGCTTCAGCCTCAACATCAGTCTGCCTTCAGCCTCGGCCTCAGCCTGCCTCAGCCTCACCCTCAGCCTGCATCAGCCTCAGCCTGCCTCAGCCTCGCCCTCAGCCTGCTTCAGCCTCAACATCAGTCTGCCTTCAGCCTCGGCCTCAGCCTGCCTCAGCCTCACCCTGCATCAGCCTCAGCCTCAGCCTCAGCCTGCCTCAGCATCAGCCTGCCTCAGCCTCAGCCTCAGCCTGCCTCTGCCTCAGCCTCAGCCTGCTTCAGCCTCAGCCTCAGTCTGCCTTCGGCCTCGGCCTCAGCCTCAGCCTGCCTCAGCCTCAGCCTGCATCAGCCTCAGCCTCAGCCTCAGCCTGCCTCAGCATCAGCCTGCCTCAGCCTCAGCCTCAGCCTCAGCCTGCCTCAGCCTCAGCCTCAGCCTGCTTCAGCCTCAGCCTGAGTTTGCCTGCAGCCTCGGCCTCAGCCTCAGCCTGCCTCAGCCTCAGCCTGCATCAGCCTCAGCCTCAGCCTCAGCCTGCCTCAGCATCAGCCTGCCTCAGCCTCAGCCTCAGCCTGCCTCAGCCTCAGCCTCAGCCTGCTTCAGCCTCAGCCTCAGTCTGCCTTCAGCCTCGGCCTCAGCCTCAGCCTGCCTCAGCCTCAGCCTGCATCAGCCTCAGCCTCAGCCTCAGCCTGCCTCAGCATCAGCCTGCCTCAGCCTCAGCCTCAGCCTGCCTCAGCCTCAGCCTCAGCCTGCTTCAGCCTCAGCCTCAGTCTGCCTTCAGCCTCGGCCTCAGCCTCAGCCTGCCTCAGCCTCAGCCTGCATCAGCCTCAGCCTCAGCCTCAGCCTGCCTCAGCATCAGCCTGCCTCAGCCTCAGCCTCAGCCTGCCTCAGCCTCAGCCTCAGCCTGCTTCAGCCTCAGCCTCAGTCTGCCTTCAGCCTCGGCCTCAGCCTCAGCCTGCCTCAGCCTCAGCCTGCATCAGCCTCAGCCTCAGCCTCAGCCTGCCTCAGCATCAGCCTGCCTCAGCCTCAGCCTCAGCCTGCCTCAGCCTCAGCCTCAGCCTGCTTCAGCCTCAGCCTCAGTCTGCCTTCAGCCTCGGCCTCAGCCTCAGCCTGCCTCAGCCTCAGCCTGCATCAGCCTCAGCCTCAGCCTCAGCCTGCCTCAGCATCAGCCTGCCTCAGCCTCAGCCTCAGCCTGCCTCAGCCTCAGCCTCAGCCTGCTTCAGCCTCAGCCTCAGTCTGCCTTCAGCCTCGTCCTCAGCTTCAGTCTGCCTTCAGCCTCAGCCTGCCTCAGCCTCAGCATCAGCCTGCCTCAGCATTCAAAGTGTGGCCCGGGAATGGAGTTCTGGGAACTCGAAGAACACGAAATGGCCTACAGTTGGCTCCGGGCATTCAAAATCATGCCCAGGAATGGAGTTCTGGGAACTCGAACACCACGAAGTGGCCTACAGTTGGCTCCGGGCATTCAAAATGTGCCCAGGAATGGAGTTCTGGGAACTCGAAGAGCACGAAGTGGCCTACAGTTGGCTCCGGGCATTCAAAATGTGGCCCGGGAATGGAGTTCTGGGAAGTCGAAGAGCACGAAGTGGCCTACAGTTGGCTCCGGGCATTCAGAATGTGGCCCGGGAATGGAGTTCTGGGAGGTCGAAGAGCACGAAGTGTGTGACTGTATGCGAAAAACGATCCCCCCCGGCAAACCCCAACGGCCCCCCAACGGCTCCCCAACGGCTGCCCAGACCCCCCTGTGGAGTAATGTGCTGCTCTCTTTTTATACCACTAGAAACCTATCAGTCTTCGCTGTTAGGTAAAAGAACAACCGGAAACGGCAACAAAAACGGTTCCAGGATTGGGGCCAGAGCCGGAACTGGTCAAATTATCCCGGCAAAGCAACCTAACAGCGATGTGTAGGAGCATATCTGGAAGCATTCCCCTTAAGATTCAGATGAGAATCCAGTTGTAGAATTCTGCTGTCTTCGCAGTCGTAGTCGCATTCGCGATGACAGTCGCAGTGGCAACGGCAGTCGCAGTCACAGCCTCAGCCTCAGCCTGCCTCAGCCTCAGCCTCAGCCTGCCTCAGCCTCAGCCTGCCTCAGCCTCAGCCTCAGCCTGCTTCAGCCTCAGCCTCAGTCTGCCTTCAGCCTCGGCCTCAGCCTCAGTCTGCCTCAGCCTCAGCTTCAGCCTCAGCCTCAGCCTCAGCCTCAGCATCAGCCTGCCTCAGCCTCAGCCTCAGCCTGCCTCTGCCTGAGCCTCAGCCTGCTTCAGCCTCAGCTTCAGTCTGCCGTCGGCCTCGGCCTCAGCCTCAGCCTGCCTCAGTCTGCCTTCAGCCTCAGCCTCAGCCTCAGCCTGCCTCAGCCTCAGCCTCAGCCTCAGCCTCAGCCTCAGCCTCAGCCTGCCTCAGCCTCAGCCTCAGCCTGCTCCGGGCATTCAAAATGTGGCCCGGGAATGGAGTTCTGGGAACTTCGAAGACCACGAAGTGGCCTACAGTTGGCTCCGGGCATTCAGAATGTGGCCCGGGAATGGAGTTCTGGGAACTCGAAGAGCACGAAGTGGCCTACAGTTGGCTCCGGGCATTCAAAATGTGGCCCGGGAATGGAGTTCTGGGAAGTCGAAGAGCACGAAGTGGCCTACAGTTGGCTCCGGGCATTCAGAATGTGGCCCGGGAATGGAGTTCTGGGAGGTCGAAGAGCACGAAGTGTGTGACTGTATGCGAAAAACGATCCCCCCCGGCAAACCCCAACGGCCCCCCAACGCTCCCCAACGGCTGCCCAGACCCCCCTGTGGAGTAATGTGCTGCTCTCTTTTTAGCCCATTAGAAACCTATCAGTCTACGCTGTTAGGTAAAAACGGCAACGGAGCCGATAAAACAACAGCGTCGGAACCGGAAACAAAAACGGCCAAACGGAACCCGTAAAAAAAATTGCCCTGTCGCTGCCAGGGCCCACTGCGTGTCCCTCTACAGGAGGAGTATTCAAAAGCACTAGAACAAATTGTCTGGTGACGATTTGTGTTGCCTATGTTTGAGCATGTTTGATTTGTGCTGGCTATCTTGCAGCGTTCGTCCAGCATCCGCCTGTGGGGGGCATGCCCGACCTAAAACAAACACTGCCCTGCACGGTTGCCGTCTCTTTCGCCGTCCGGAGGCCGTCCCAAGGAGCAGCGAACGCCGACCCGAGGCAAAGAGCCCACCCAAAGATGGGGTCGAGAGCCGCGAGAGCTGGGACGCGCCTGCAGCAATCATGACCTCGGGGGTACCGGCGTCCAGGTAAAGACAGATAGCATAATTATGCTCGATTGTCTGGTGACGATTCGTGTTGCCTATGTTTGAGCATGTTTGATTTGTGCTGGCTATTCGTGGGCCCTGTCGTTTCCAGGGCCCACGGAGTCCACAGCTCCCCACTGCGGCGTGGACTTGTGGGCTCCCTTCCCCAGATCTCGGAGCGCTCCTGCCCTGCCTCCACGGGGGAGAGCCGCCCGGCGGGCAAGACCTGCGTCCACAGCACCCCCCTGCGTCATGGAGCTTTCGGTAAGTCGGGCGTGTCCCCCTACAGGGGCATTGTCGACGAAAAATAAAACATACTCGAAAAATACCCCCAAAATGGACAAACAATGCTCAAAACATAATCCCCCGACTATTTCTTAACTATCTTTGAACATTCCTCCTGTAGAGGGACAGGCCCGACTTAAAGTTTTTGGGCTCCCTTCCCCCAAAGGGTATGGACAGACATCTGTCCCCTAGAGGCTGGACAATTGTCCGTGTCCATTGCGCCTCGGCCTTCTGGCGCCCCATGCCAAAACATCCAAGACACCCACACTAAAAAAAACAATTGAGCATATGCTATCTTTTGCTTACCTGGAAGCCGGTACCCCCGAGGTCATGATTGCTGCAGGCGCGTCCCAGCTCTCGCAGCTCTCGACCCCATCTTTGGGTGGGCTCTTTGCCTCGGGTCGGCGTTCGCTGCTCCTTGGGACGGCCTCCGGACGGCGAAAGAGACGGCAACCGTGCAGGGCAGTGTTTGTTTCACGTCGGGCATGCCCCCCGCAGGCGGATTCTGGACGAACGCTGCAAGATAGCCAGCACAAATCAAACATGCTCAGGCAACACAAATCGTCACAGACAATGTGTTCGACTGCTT